CAGCCTCGGGCACGGCTGGCAACTTAAAGTTCTGCTTCCTCCCTGTTCCGCCCAGGCGTCAATGCCATGCTCAGGAAGGTGGCGGTGGCTGCCGCCTCCAAGCCCCACGTGGAGATCCGTCAGGACGGGGACCAGTTCTACATCAAGACTTCCACCACTGTCCGCACCACTGAGATCAACTTCAAAATCGGGGAGAGCTTCGAGGAGGAGACCGTGGATGGACGGAAGTGCAGGGTAGGAGGAGAGCTGGGGAGCGTTTGTGTGCGTTACCAGGTTCTTTCGAGGTGGGACAAACTCATCTGCTACGTGTGTCCCCAGACAGTGGCATTGCTGCCCTCTTACCCTCTTTTTGCCAGAAACACTCTGGGGGTTCTTGGTGGTTGCCGGTCCTCTTGTCTGTCCTCTGACGTTCTCCTTCTTGCAAGGTAAAACTGAAATCTGAAGGCAACAGAGCGTGGCAAGTCCCAAAAGCAGGGTTCGAGGATCTGCTTGATGGCTCCTTGGCTGGCAGGGTTTTGTCCAGCTCTTTTTGCTTCCTACTGCTCTGGCGAGCTCAGCTGCAGTGAAAGCTCTCCCCAACCTCTGTCCCTGATGGGAACTTGAGGAATGGTGGAGCAAGGGAGACCTCGGGAGTTAGGATATAGTGCACAAACCTGACAGCTTTTGTCCTAAACTGAATCAGCTGAGTTCACAAGCAGGACCACAGAGTGTTTGTAGTTTGCGGCTGAAATCTTTCATTTCCTTGCAAGTGCATGTCTCCAGTTTGCTGATGAGATACATCTTTAACAGTTTAAGACAGACTTTCAGCTAGTGTTATACCAGACACACCATCTCCTTGTGCATAAATGCATTAGAGTGCATTCACTGAAGTGTTTTGAGCTTGGTTCTGCATGTAAGCCCTTACAGCTCTGTGGCTGGGGGTGGGGGGGGGCCTTAGGTCGGCAGCATCTGATGCCAGCTTCTTGTTGGTGTAGATACATGGGATTTGGGTTATTGGAGGACTGGGCTGTGTTCATAGCAGTCTTCTGAAATAAGGTATCAAAGGCACAGGTTAGTTATGCTTTCCTCAGGCACTTTACTCTCACACAAGAGAAGTATATATAAAACGTTTATACTCTTCATTCATACTTTTTTTATCAGAATGTGATCCCAAATGAGATACAGTTTAAAAAGTATCCTATGATGGTGAAGTAATCTACTTTCCAAAATATGATCTCTGCTAATTCTTGGGCCAGCTTCTGAGACCATTTGTACCACCAAACATTCCGAACCTACTATCTCTAGTGCAATTGCTGTGAATTTAAGTTCATGAAAAAGGGAGGCAGATTCTGGGAGTCAGTGAACATTTAGAACATTGACTTTCATCTGTGGTATGAGTTATCATGTATTTAGTAGTTTGTTCAGGAAATGTTGCTGGCTGGCTTTGTTAATTTATCTTGCTGACAGAAGTAGTATTTTGGTGTATTCATGCATAATGCATATACAGTAAGTGTGACCCGCTTTCTAGAGAAGGATTTATTGCTGCAGATGGAAGAATAATTACGGCTGTAAGCTATGAAAGTTGGAAAAATCTGAAAGAAATGTGTTTTGTGAAATACTAAATTTTTTCCATGTGTTGTAAAATTATTTATAGTCCACTCTCAGGAATAAGTTGCACTGCTGTGTGTATATAACCAAGACGTGGCCACAAAGCAGAAACTGACAGATAATAAAATAATTCTTCAGAATGTAACATGGCAAAATTGCTGATTGGTGGTAGATTTTGATACACTTTATGGAGTAGAGGGTTTTGTTCTGCCAACTAACTTGGTCTATTGTTCATACAGACAAAGAGTCATATGTAGTTATACTACAACGATGGCTTTAAAAAAATCTATTTTTTGGAAAAAATATTTATAAAACAAACAGCTGATTTTAAATCAGAGTTTTTTCCTCCTTTGTAAAGTCTCTGAAGCGTTAACTTGAATTTATGCACACACACATGTATATGTATATAATCAGACTAATGAATGACTCCCATGTGCTAGTTGTAAAGTGATTACTCGCACATTCATTACAGTGCATCCTTCTGCACAGCTGTTCCATTGCCCTGTAGACTAATAGCTCACTACTAGAATGAAAAGCAACAGTCAGGGCTTGCCTGTTTGCGAAAGCTAAACAAAATCCCGATTTAAAAAAAAAAATTATTTATTTTTCGGTGGTTTCATAGTCATCATTGAAATGCTTTGAAAAATACCTAAGGATATTTCAATCTCCGGACCCACAATCTTAAAGTAGTATTGCAAACACTAGAATTCTAACAAAGTTTCTTTAATTTAGTTGTGACTTATTCTAGTTTGTTAGCACAGTGTTTAATATACAGTTAACCTGGCATGGTGCCATATAGCATGAAAGATTGTAAGAGACAAATACTGCATTATTTATGACCACAACATGATACATAGGATTCTTTATGCTTTTACACTAAGGGGACTCTGTAGTGATAAATAATATGTCAGATCAAACCACATGTGTACAAAGATGCCTGTGGTTGTAGGCACTACATTACCACGTTTCTAAATTACACTTTTCAACATCAAGCATTTTATGAAAACTGACTGGCTCTTCAATTTGGAAACAAATGCAGTTTTACACTGAAAAGACACAATTACTTTGTTATTCATATATACCTCTTTCCAAAATGCCCCCTCACACCTTAATTTTGATTTCATCACTTTCCACTGATGTCTTTCTCCCTTTGCCGTTATCTATCTATGTGATGCCCCTTTACTGCAGCAATTATTCTCACTACTGCTCATTGTTGTCTCCCTGCCTCATGCTGCTGGCAAATGTAATTAATGTTATTCCTAATGGTTTTCTTGCCTGCAGAGTTTGGCCACTTGGGAGAATGAAAACAAGATCTATTGCAAACAAACTCTTATTGACGGAGATGGTCCCAAAACATACTGGACTCGAGAATTAGCTAATGATGAGCTGATTTTGGTAAGAACCTTGAACCCACCCAATACATATACCATATTAACTGTTTTTTGTTGCCATGTAGTATGACTTACTGTTTTTCCTTACTTAAATCTATCAGGAAAACTACCATTTTCATAATCACTTTCTTTCCTTTTTAAATTTTTTTTTAAGAACAAAATATATGGAGGCTCTCACTTGCATTTTATTGCTGTGACTTCTGTCATACTTTACTGGTAGAATAATCACAAGTGGATCACTTCTGCTCTGTAAATTTACAACACAACCAAAGAATTTGCTTGATTTACTGCAGATTTTCTCTGGTGAAAGTGAGATCAAGGCATTTGACCTTATTTCTAGTGAACCTTCTTTTTGAGGCGTGTTGCTTCTTATCCATAATCACATGGTGCCTCTCAGGAAAGCTGTAACATGATGTTAGCATGCACTGATTTATGAAGAACATTGAATTCCTCTCCATCTCTGCCACCCTCTCCAATTCCTTGATCCTCTCTGAATCCAGTTCAGAATTGCCTTCATGAGTTTCTCATAAACACACCAGTTTGCACATTTGTTGTCAGCCATGGTCCCCCTACTCCCGTGTGACCTTCCATATGGCAGCAGGGTTACTGTGGGCTTTCTGAGCAGCATCTCTACAACCACCTCACCATTTATGCCATGAATTGTGTGCAATTTATTTATATTGTACTTCCGTTAGAGCTGAGTTCTCTTCATTGAATCTTTCCTCACTAGTCCCTCTACATTAATGACCAGATAAAGACACAGTTCCCCTGAGTTACAAGTAGCACAGTTCAGCCTTAGCTCAGAATAATTTTATTGCACATGTTCTTACTAGTGAATTCCGGTTAAGTAGTTGATTAGACTGTTAAGCCTCATCAGTTTGGGCAAGGAAGACAGGCTGCTGGAGTGACGGGTAAGAAAACATCCAAGCTTGGAGGCTTAATTTCAAACTATCACACTAATAAATCTCTGCACTTCTAAAAGACTCCCCAGTGTTTCTCTAAAGCAGTTGGAGCTCTTTTTAAGATTGCATCTGAAACAAAACCAGGACCCAAACCTAACCAAGTATAAACAAAAAGCTTTTAAGGTGTTAGTATTATTCCAGGACATCTTGGAACTGTTCACCCACCCCTTATGAAGAGGTGTATGCTGTTAGAAAAATAACACTGGTTTCTATTGAATGAATACTCCAATTCTGGATAATTTATTTTGACTCAACTGCTGGAAATCTTTGTTATCAAAAAACTTCAGGAGGCAAACTTTGATATAATGCAGTAGACAAAATATATTCCCAGCTATAATTTTTTCAGCTTTCTAAAAATACACTTTTATTGTTTAAGCAATAAACTGGTGAGGTAGCCGTTAAACGAAGTGAACTGCTCCAAGCAAAGCAAGAAAGCCAGTCATAATACAATTGCCTCCTGCAATCAGCAATGCGAACTTACCCTGCTGGGGAAGAAGAATAAGGTTCATTAAGAAACCAGAGCAATTCAAAGATTATGATGCCCTTTTTTTCTTGTATAATATAGTCAGTTGAGCTTTTCTGAATTAATTACTTTTCAAATTGGGATATAAATTAGAAAAACTTCCTTCTTATTAAAATATTTCTATTTACAGGAACTCCATCATAACTTTTGATAAGTTGTTTTACTGGTTAATTTCCTTGCCACTAAAATATACACGTTATTTCTAATCTGTATATGTCTAGATTCAACTTCCTGGCATTACATAGTGTGTATAAAAGAACCTAAGTAATGTGCCTAAAGTTTGTTATTGCAAATACTTCCCTTAAGAACATTGATCAAGCCACGTCTTGGAAGAACCTTCTCTTTGTTAAGCTGAATCATTAGAAGAGCTTGAGCCCTTCAATATAAAGCAAGCTTTCCTTGAGTAATTCTTTCAGTGCTTTTATAACTCCCTCCATTTTATCAATTTCCTTTCTAAACTATGAACATGAGAACCATACATACTGTTCTGCTAGCAATCATACTAACACCTGATGTAGTGGTGACTTCATCTCCCTACTCTTATCTGAAATTACTTTGATTTATATGCAAAGACTTTGTTAACCCTTCTTTGGGGACTCATGCTCAGCTGATTGTGATCCCAAGTAATTTTCCTGGTTACTAGTCCCTTTGCCCTGTACTGCACGTTGGGACTATGTTCATTGGTTGTAATGTATGATTTTACCATCACCATTATGAAAACATAGTATTTGCTTCCAAGTGAACATTGTCTTTGTCTTCTACTATTTAATATGATATGCAGTTCCATTCTCCTGCCTCTTTTCTGGACCACAGTGGCCTATTTTGCTTTATTAAATATGAGGACATTACTTGGTCACCAGGACAAAGATTTTCAAGCCTCTCATGACATTTGGTGGGACTGAATGTACAAATTTATAAATACATGTTCAAAATTTCTCACACCCTGAAGTTGAGCAATGAATGGTGATTAAGTGTGAGGTCGCTGGTCCTTTGGGGAAGTTAAGATAGCCAAAATTAACCCTTAGTGTTTGGAGGAAGGCAGAAGAGGGTAAGGAAAGCTACATTTTCTTGTCTGTGGCCCCTAATTTTAGAACCCCAGAATGTTCCCTCCAGACCATTATTTGGGCTTTAGAAGCTAAACTGAAGTAGTTACTGGCTTAAGTGTGTTCCTCAGCTGTAACAGAGAACAAAGTAGGAATAGGAGCATTAAGTGAGAAGACCCTGTGATCCCTTTTGATCTCTTGCCTCTGAAGTGTGCGTGTTTTTAATCACTCCAGTGAAGATTCAGGTTAGATTTTTTTCTGTTATACATAGAAATTTTCCTTGGATCTGAGTTTGCAAATCCCCACTTAGATTTTACGTCTTCAAAACTAAGATCACAGTGCAAAGAAGAGATCTTTCTTCTCCTTTATTTCATCTTCCATCCTGCCAGCTTTGTTAGGGTTCTTTGGGACCTGAAATTTATTCTCATTCAGTTTTACTGTCCTTATCACTTCAAACATTTAACAGTTCCCATCTTCACACTTCCCAAACCTTCCTACTTACCTGAGATATATTTTCTCTTCCTTTATTCTTTTTGATGTGCTTTAGTAAGCTTTCCCTGTTTCCATTCTGGTAGAGTGCCTTAAATAAGCAGAAGGGAACCACATTCTTGTGAACTTGTACATGTCTGCAGCTAGGAAGCTGTCTTTATGGAGCAGAGTGTGTGATATAGCAGTTCAGGAATTCTGAAAAGTTCCTTATTCTCACAATTTTTGCTCCTGTTTCTCTATCCAAAGAAATCTTTCAAGAAGTCTTGAGTCTCCTTCTTAGCTGTTACATGCATTTGCAGAAGAAATCAAGAAAACTCGTGCCCCATTTGGAAAAAGTTGGACAAAGGAATCTAAACTGTGTTAGACTGAGGCATGAATGGAAAAAAAAAGCTTGGGGCAACAGGCAGGGGATAAGGAATGAGTTTTACTCTGCTAATACTGGCCGCATAAATGTTGGAGCTTTGCCACGTGATTTTGGTCTAATGTGCTGCATTGCTTAGGGGGTCCATTTGATTATGACATTTTTCCTAGTGGAATGATACATTTTTCTCCCCAACACAGCATGTTAAGTAAAATGCATTTATTATAACATATAATAATAAAAAAAAGCAGTATTGAACTGTCATGACTACCACAGAGCTAAAATGGAAACCATATTACCATATAATTATCAGTCTTTCTTGCATCCTAGCAGAAGAATTCAATATATTCTTCCAAGATATTCCCTTGGAGCAATATGATGGTCTTCCATGTCACATCACGTCCTCTGGTACACAGATGCTGGGAACAAACTATTTAGTTAGCAATGGTTTTCTTCAGCTTCAGGTACCAGTTAAGTTTGCCTTCAGTTCTCCTTTGCTCCTTGCAGCATGGAGAATGAGATTACTCTTATTAGTAGCATAAATAATATTTGGCTCCTACAATGACAAACGTAGGTCTGAAGTCCTGTTAGAAAGAGTCCTCTCAGCTGAGTAAGGGAAGAACGATCAAGGTCTGCTTTATAGAAAAGGTGCTGTGAATGTGTTAAAAGATTGCAAATACTTTCATCAGTGTTGTTTATTCTAATCTCATCTGATGTACCTGCTGGGATTTCATTGCTGCATTTTTAGAAGTACTGAACAACGTAGATTAAAAAATTACATGAAATATGCAAGTAAGGGAGGGTGAAAAGGATAGATCCTCATCAAAGTCCGTGTTCGTTTGTCGTGACTGTAGCTTTATATTGTATTGTACCTGTAGTGCATACAGCGGGTCAGAATATCTGTATTTACAACTCCACAGTCATAATCTCTATTTGGATTAGCACCTCAGCAATCAAGATCAGAATATAATACAAAAATACCTATTTCCTTTACTTGTCTGAAACTTAACATCTGGGATTACGTCTAATATGCTTTTCCTTCCATTTTCTTTTATACTCCATGTTTTTGCTGTTGCTGTGTGTTTTTGTCAGGGACATTAATGGGCTATCAATCACTTCTATCAGTCAGAAGAACAAAAGGTCTGCTCTTTACAAAGTTAAAGGACGCTGCTTCCAAATGTTAGCTGTTCAAATGAGAAGCTTTTAAATTCACACTTCATCTGCGTTGCTGCTTTCATGCCTCTATATATTTTAGTTTGATCTGTAACACACAAACATTTTAAAGTGGATGATTACTGAAGAGGGGCTTTAAAAACAACCTCAGACCACATTTTACACAGTTCACGTATCACACAGGGGTTCTCAGAATCAATTATAGCAAGGGTCAGAGATCAGAACATTAGGGAGGTTTCAGACATGGTTTCTATTCTACGTTGCCTCCCCAGAAAAATCATGCTGCAGTTGATTAAAACTGGTGAACTGTGGAGCCTAGATGAGTGAGTGAACATTTTTTAAATTATACTGGTGGCTTCTAAAATTAAACGTAGTAGGTGAGAAGGGTTAGTGCAGATTTCGAATTTTTTGCAGCCAAAAGCTGAGATCTGTGATGTGCCGAAGCCTTGCATC